GGGGGGGGGGGTAAAGCGGTGAGTTTTGGGGGTGTTCCAACCATTGCCCTCTGAATTCGTGGTGCAGGCAAGGCGGTGGGCATTGTCACCACCACGCGGGTGACCCACGCGACGCCCAGCGCCGCCTACGCCCACTCCGCCAACCGCGACTGGTACTCGGATGGAGAGATGCCCCCAGATGCGCTGGAGGGTGGCTGCAAGGACATCGCCCGGCAGCTGGTGGAGAACATCCCCGACATCGAGGTAGGGATGGGGACGGGGCCACCAGGGATGCAGGCTGGAGCCACCCAGGGACGGGAACAGGACCACCCAAGGATGAGGATGGGGCCATGGGTAGAGGTGGGACCAGGACTACCAATGGGTGCAGGGCTGGGATCCCCAGTAGATACTGGGCTGGGACCACCAGTGGGTGAAGAGCCAGGATCCCCGGGAGATGTTGGACTGGGACCACTGACGGGTGCAGGGCTGGGACCCCCAGCAGATATGGGGCCGTCACCACCCGTGGGTGGAGAGCCAGAACCCCCAGCAGATGTGGGACCAGGACCACCCATGGGTGAGGTACCAGGGCTGTTGGGTGGATATGGGACCAGGACCACCGATGGACGCACCGCCAGGACCCCCATCAGACGTAGGGCTGGGACCACGAGCACATAATAGGACCAGACCCCCAAATCCCGCTTCACCCCCCCTCCACCCACATCCACAGCAGCCCCCTCCTTTCTCATACTTCCCATACCCAAAACCCTCCATTTTCCCCCCCGATTCTGCCCCTCGCTGCGGATTTACGCAGAAATTCAGCCCTGTAAATAAATACTCTTCTGTCCTTCAAAATAGCCCCAAAGCAAAACATTTCAGCCTGTTATTTAGCTCTTTAATAGCCTCTTCTTCTGTTTTTTTTCCCTTTAATATAATTTTAACTCTGTCCCAGGCTGGAAATAATTATATAGCAGGGAAAAGACATTTTTTTCCCTTTTTTTTTTTTGCTTAATAATTTTGGCGGCGGTGTTTTGCAGCTTTATAATTCACCTTCTGCGCGGAGAAAGCGGGGGGGAATAAAAAAAATCTCTGCTCGGTTATAAATAACGGAGGCCAAATAAATCAGGCTCCAAAACAAACTGTGAGAGCTGCGGGATGGGGCTCCGTCCCGGCGGGTTCACGCGGGGACCCCGATGTGGAGCATCCCTCCCACAGATGTGAAAATTTTTTTTTTTAAAAAGCCAAATTTGCCGCTGGAAATGATTATTTTTGTCTTGGGTTTTAATTAATAGGAAGAGATTCAGGGTTATTTCGAGCGAGGTGAAATTCCTCGGGTGTTTTCGCCCGCTTTTTTGCGCGACGCCAGGGTTTTCCTGGACATCCCACTCCGCCTCGCCAGGGTTTTTCCCCCCATTAAGCCCAAATTGGGGGGAAAAAATTAAAAATAATTTAAAATAATTTTTAAAATGCATTTTTTTTCCCCCTTTGGCAGGTGATCTTGGGCGGCGGGCGGAAATATATGTTCCCCAAAAACGCCAGTGACGTGGAGTATCCCCACGAGGACAAGCACCGGGGTACCCGCCTGGACCGCAGGGACCTCGTCCAGGCATGGCACGATGCCAAGCCCCCCGGCAAGGTGACGGGGACTTTTTCTGGGGGGGGTACATACATGTCACCCCACTGTAACCTTACAAAGCCATTCCTGGGGTGGTGGTGGGGAGCTATTTTGGGGAGGGGGCTATAAAGCAGCCCTGGGGTTGGCAGAGGCGATGGGGAGGTGACGACCCGCCTGTCCCCCATCCCCAGGTCGCCAAATACGTGTGGCACCGGCGAGACCTGCTGGCGCTCAACCTCAGCCGCGTCGACTTCCTCTTGGGTGAGTCCCAGCGCCCAGGGGTGCCCCGGCCTCAACCCCGTGCCTTGGGGGACCCCTGGCCCGTCCCGGGGTGCTGGGGAAGCTGGAGTGGCCAGTTACCCCCTGGGGATGCTGGTACTCCCAAGGGATGCTGGTACCCCACCCCGGGGATGCTGGTACCCCCAAGGGATGCTGCTACCTCCAAGGGTACCCCGCCCCGGGGATGCTGGTACCCCCAAGGGATGCTGGTACCCCCAAGGGATGCTGGTACCCCCAAGGGATGCTGGTACCCCCAAGGGATGCTGGTACCCCCAAGGGATGCTGGTACCCCCAAGGGATGCTGGTACCCCCAAGGGATGCTGGTACCCCCAAGGGATGCTGCTGCTCCTCTGGGGATGCTGGTACCCCGAAGGGATGGTGTTACCCCCCCAGGGATGCTGGTAGCTGCCCTGGGGATGCTGGTACCACCCCCCCCCCCCCCCCCCCCCCCCCCCCCCGCCCTCCCCGGGGATGCAGTTTTCACCCCCTGGGGATGCAATTTTTTTTGGCCCACGCTGCAATTCTCCAGCCCAGCTGGGCTGCAGGATTCGTCCGGGCCGGAGGAAGGAAGGGCTGGGAGCATCCCCCCGGCTCCTATCTACTCACCCTGGATCCGGTGGGGGGTGAAACGCTTGAACCAGCACAAGAAGCGGGGGGCGGTGCTGGATTTGGCCCCCCCCCCCCTTTTTTTTTTTTT